TTCTTTTTTTTTTTTTTTTGGGGGGGGGGGGGGGAGGTAGGGGGAGTAGGAAAAGTGATGGTTTTTCTGTTTGTTACACGCATTCAATAGCAAACAAATTATGTTGTTTTTGTTCCAGGGAACGGCATCTGTGGTTCTCGCAGGGCTCATGGCATCATTGCAGTTGGTTGGAGGAACCTTGGCTGAACATACATTCTTATTCCTTGGAGCAGGGGAGGTACAGCTATCACTTATACTGCAGAATTATCTTCTTCTTCACTTTGAACTGCAACTTCTTTTTTCGAAAGAGTTTGCTTATTGGAGAACTGAATATTTGACTTACACAAAGCTAGCGTTTGGACATAGAGGGTGTTTGGATTGGCTTATTTTAAGTGCTTATTGGCTTTTAAGCACTTTTCTAGTTTATGTGGTGTTTGGCAATGATAAAAAGTGCTTAAAAGCACTTATTTTTAGGCATGAAAAGTACAAAAATAAGCCAAAAGCCAAAAGTTGGGTATTTCCAACTTATGGTTTTTGGCTTTTAGCTTAAAAGCTACTTTTTAAAAGCCAATCCAAACACCCTCATAGATTTGGTGGAAACTTGAAAAAAGAGTTTTTGAAGTTGTGTTGAAAAATAATTTTTGTAAGTTGAAGTTGTGTTTGGACATGCATTTTATTTAAAAACAACTTGAAGTAATGTGAGTGGAAGAAAAAATTTCACCCAAAAACTGCCCTAAACCAGTTTTTGGGAACTTGAAACTTTTGAATTTTTTTTTCTCAAAACATGATCATATTTCATAAACAAACAATGTTTTCAGATTTTATTTTGAAAAAATGAATCCAATATCTATGTTCAAACGGGAACTAAAGTATTGTTTGCTCCAAGACCAAAATGGGATTCTGTTCAAAGTTGCTCCGTGTGTTCCTGCTCTTAAGATTTTAGCAATTATTGAACAGCTGCTTGTATTTCTTCTGATTTGATCACCCTTTCTGCCTCTAAATGTTCATTTTTGTGTCCCATTAACCTTGTCGTCAATGCAGGCTGGAACAGGTATAGCAGAACTCATAGCTCTTGAAATGTCAAAGCAGGTAGAGACTTAAAAGGAAACAATTCAGTTCTTTTTTATTTATTAGCTCTTCTGCTTCGAGTTTCAACTACGTTTAAAGTGGAGATGTTCGGCTAGCTTTACACTACTCTTTCTTGTGCAGACTGGAATCCCTCTGGAAGAGACTCGTAAGAAAATTTGGATGTTGGATTCTAAGGTACTAAAAACTCCTTTATCGGACTTATTATTATTTTTATCATTTCCCACAGCTTGTATACTATTAAAGCATCTATATATCGTTCTCCCTCTAGGGGCTGATTGTTAATTCTCGCATGGAGTCGCTTCAACATTTTAAGAGGCCCTGGGCACATGAACACGAACCAGTAAAAGAACTGGTGAATGCTGTCAAGGTGGTATCTCTATTCCCTCATCCTCCTTGCGCTCTCTCTCTCTCTCTCCCCCTCCATCTCCCTCTCCCTCTATCTCTGTCTCTCTCTCTGTCTCTCTCTCTCTCTCTCTCTCTCTCTCACACACACACACACACAATTCTCTTTTTGTGCCAGTCAATTAAGCCAACAGTTTTGATTGGGTCTTCTGGAGCTGGGAGAACATTTACCAAAGAAGTTGTACAAGCTATGGCAACATTCAATGAGGTAAGAAAATGGATCCCTACTTGGATAAGATCATAAGAAAAGCTACATTCTGCAGTTAGTGTCACTAACATGTAAAAGGATAAACTAACGTTTTCAATGGTCTGTATGGCAGAAACCAATTATTTTTGCCCTCTCCAATCCAACGTCACAGTCTGAATGTACTGCTGAAGAAGCTTATACCTGGAGTGAGGTAAGATAGTGGACACTTTACTTTTTCATGTTTAAACTTGGTCTTACAATGTCATTATTTCTCTCCAAGGTCCCATATGTTTTTGTTATTATTTTTAAGTCTGTAATATTCTTTTCATGTCTCCTTCAGGGGCGAGCCATTTTTGCTAGCGGGAGTCCATTTGCCCCAGTTGAGTACAATGGGAAAGTCTACGCATCCGGTCAGGTCAAAGATTTCAGAACCTTGACTACTTACCATTATTACCTTTTCCCCTTCTCGTTGAATCTCTTTACATTATCAGTACTTATGCAAGATACGTACTAAACTTCTCTCTTTACCTTGTCTAGGCAAATAATGCATATATCTTCCCTGGGTTTGGTCTAGGACTGATAATTTCCGGTGCAATTCGTGTCCACGATGACATGCTCCTGGCAGCCTGTAAGTTGTGGAAGTTTTTGTAGTTCAAGATTACTCCCTCCCTGCTTTCTAAAATATATGTAAATGAGGGAAGAGAGGACAACAGGAAAAAGGGAAACAAAAGCTGATGAACTTAGACGCAATGATCGTTCTTATATATATATATATATATACATTTATTTTTTTTTTTTTTTTTTGGTTTGGTTTGGGGGGTTGGGGGGGTGGGGATGGCGAGTTGCCCTTCTGACATGCATATGCTTATATTTTGAACTTTCTGGATGAAAGTTTTAAGCTGTATGTTGTTGATACAATTTACCTTAATCAACATCTTTCCAGCCTCTCCCCTAAGTTGTAGCAAAAATTTGGCAGCCAATACTTATTAAAAGAAAGGTGACAGCCAATAAATTCTTCTTAAATGGTCCATGGAATTGCAAAGATAGGTTCACGTTTGCTGTTTGATACTGTCAAGTTGATCACTGTCTAGGTTTTGCATTCCGAACCCCGAATTTTACATGTTGTTTCCATGAGAATGCTGTTTATGAAGGAATATTTTGCAATCAAACTCGCAAGGTCGTAGTTTTCTAGTAGTGCAGAACTTTCTTCGTATGCTCAAAACATGGACAACAGAATCAACAGGATACCTCTTCCAAGCTTCATTTGTTCTTAAGTTTGAACTGACAAACCACAACAAACTTTCACTTTTTTTTGTTGTTGTCATCTTCACTTAAAACATTTAAAGGCACCAATTGTAGATTTTTCTTGTTTCTTTTTTCTGCTTCATAAGGTTTTACATTAATCTCCAATTTTGTTCCTTGAAACAGCGGAAGCTTTAGCGGAGCAGGTTAGTCAAGAGAACTTTGAGAAGGGGCTCATATACCCGCCATTTACCAACATAAGAAAGATTTCAGCCAACATTGCTGCCAAAGTAGCAGCTAAGGCATATGAACTAGGTATATTTCTCGTGTTGAATCTTGTCGGTAGAAGATTTGCATGCTCACATCTAGCAGACCTGTTGAACTTTGTCCTTTTTGTTGCTTAATAGGTTTGGCCACTCGTCTACCAGAACCTGTGAACCTAGTAGCATATGCAGAGAGCTGTATGTACAGCCCCGCTTACCGCAGCTATCGTTGAGTCATAGAAGATATGTTGGTTCAAAAAGTTAGTCAATCACTGTTCTTTTAAGATTAGTTAGTTATTAATGTCTTTTCTTTCTTTTTCTTCTTTTATTCTCAAACTATCTGTTCAGTCCTGGCAGTGATATACACGTGACTGAAAACATACAGTAGCTTGCAGATGTTGTGTATTCATGAAATATTTTATTATGTAAGCGTGAAATGTAGGGAGCTCTGCAGCCTAAAAGCTTAATAAGCCTCATTAATTTTTCTTAGTTTGTTAGCGAAAATGTTTCCGGCTGGTTATATAAGGGATATGGTCTGCATACACATTACCCTCCACAGACCCCACTTTGTGGGAATATATTGATATATATTGATTTTTTTTTTGTTGTACTTTTTCTTAGACCTCACTATAAAGCAAAAGAACCTTTGACCTTTAACTATTGAAGGTGTTCCAATAATCTCACCACATCCCTCAAAGTGGTATGGTGTCCTACTGTCCGCATGAAGTAAAAGAAAAAGCCTATGAGGTATAGACAAGACATGTTGAGACACTCCTCCCTCTGAATGAGATTCAGACCTTTCATTGATCTAAAGATATATTCTCAGTTTCTAATTGTTGTGACGCGTAAAATATAATGCTAAAAGCAATCATAATGAAAATATTGGAGCAAACTTCAAATGTAAGCATAGTACTACTGCAAGCTTAAAGATGCATGGATAGTGCAACCTTATTTGGTCTCACTCTGTATTTTCCATTTAGTTCTCTATTGAACAAAGCTAAAGCAGTAATTTAAAGTATAAAGTGTTTATGACTATTATATTTAACATGAAGTGGTTAACAATTTAGACAGGATTTTACCATACTATACATGCAAAACATTAGACAATCAACTCTATAACCATAGCTAGCCAAATTGGAGATACACCACGCCAAAGATATACTTATCCGTCGCCCCTCGCACTTAACAGGATCAGTGGCCTCTTCTTATTTCTCCTCTTGAGAAAATAAAATCCATTATAAAGAAGCCAACAATTTACATCAAACTCCAGAGTCTTAGGTTTGTTAGACACCCTACTTCTATACAAGGGTAAAGAATGAACTCCAGCTTAATTCACCTACTGACTGCTCCCAAAGATTACCTAACCTATGTTACATAGAAGAGCAGGAGGAAAACACAGTTACACCCTTAAAAGAAACAAAAGTAAAAGTTTAAACTGCTTGAATTGGAGCAGTTTCACCCTTGGTAATCTCTGCGGTTTTGACTGGTGTGCTCGCATGAAATGCTGATTGCCTTGATGGTTCTGCTGTTAGCTTAAGGGAAAGTGGCGAAGGCTCGATATGGCCGGAACCAGCATCCGCTAAGGTGAGCTGGGACATGCCCACTAGTTCATCTACATTCACGGGTTCTTTGGGGATGGTTGGAATTGGCTTGAGGATCTGATGATGGGATGGTTCTGCTCCTCTATCTTCAGGCACAGGAACTGCATTTGATGGCCAGAAGGAATATGGAACTGGAATGTAAGCTGGGAAGAATGCTGGATATACTGAAGGAATCTCGTTGGTTGTGGTATTTGGTTTCGTTTCTTCAACAGGTTCACTTGGAGTGGTTTCCATGGATTCAAAATCTGACTTGAGAGAAAGATCTAGGGAAGGGAGTGTATCCGCAAAATCAGTTTCTATTGCTTTTGTTGCAGAAGGTGCTAAGTGTTCCTTATCACTTTCTATTGCTCTAGGTGGGAGCATAAATTGCTCTTCTGAAAGTGGATGGGAAGCATCGGTCCCCTGTTTAACAAAACAAAATAGAGAACACAAAAGAAGATCAAACAGAAGTTAGAAGAAAGGACTTTTCAGCAAAAGCCTGAGATAACAAAGGATGACATCGTAATCAGGAAGCTCAAATTTCACGCTCTCTGAGACTGGAATAATGCTTTTTTCAAACGTCGTAAAATGTGATGGATGACCAAGTAACTAAGAGCAGACATGCTGCAACCACATGTCAGCTCACTTGTTGTGCCTGTGCATTCGGGGGGGGGGGGGTAGCTTTTAGGCCTTAATAATCGTGCACAGCATGCGTATATGGGTCACAATATGATCATTATACAATGCTCAAGTTAGAGAAGCAAGACAAACCGTATCTGCAACAATGTCAAAAAGACTGGATCTTCTCTTTCTCCGAGTAGCATTACTCTGCCGAATAAAATACTTCTGTGCATGGCTAGCTACCTGGGTGGGAGTCCTTGATGTCACGAAGTTTCGAGATATACCCCGCCAGTCTCCTTTGCCTAATTTCTGTAAACCAAGCAGGAAAAGCCGGTGCTCTTCCTCTGTCCATGGAACACCTACAAACACATCGAAGAAGCAAGTTCACAACAAGCTTTCCTCTGTGCAGCTAAGTGATAAATTTGCCACACAGTTGGAGTTAATAATAAAACTCCATACACAAATTATCCCGACTAACAAAAACGAGATCCAAAAAGGAAGAGAAAAGCCCAATTTATAAAATAAAGGTAAAAAAGGAACTTTCTACTCCTGAAAGCTATTGTTTAAGAAGACATGCCATTAAGTTCTCAACCATCTCTGCACAACTCTTAAGAAATTGAAGATTGCATTTTAGACACAGATTTAACTTTCTTTTCACTGCACCAAATCAAGAAGGTAGATGGCATCATTAGTTAAAAGGCCACATGCTATTTCCAATCATTGGGGAGTGAGTTGAAGATGAAATTTGACAGATCGATGAGAAAATAATTGCAAGAGCACACCAGTTCTTTTAGCAGCCTCAGACAAAGAGATAATGCAGTTATCATGTTACTGTTTAGACAGCATACGAAAAGCAATTGGATCAATGGCTTGCTATAAAATTTATTTCTAAAGAACAACAACATAGCTACTATAAGCACCATCAGTGGGAGAACATTCTGGGGTCTACCATGCGTTCAAGTTGATAATCTAGTTTTACTTTTTCCCTATAGAGGGGGATTGGAACTATAAGAGAAACTAAAACCTCCATTTTTAAGCTGCACCATCAGATCACAAACAAATACCAACTTGGCAATCCATTGTTTTCACATGCATAACAGTAAGAGGACTAATGTCTTGATTAAGGTCAGATAATACGGACCAGCTCCTCAGTTCTCTTTTTCAGTAGTTAAACATCAGAATAGGGAAAGCTAGCAAATTATATAACACATAAATCTCATCGAGTGCATTTGTATTAAGTGAAAAAGATAGGTGCCTTTTCAATCAAATGCAATAACCACACAAGAAGAAAGGTATCAATAAATATTTTCAACATCCACTTTTTTCTTGTTAACTGTTGTCTAATACGGACACTGATGAATTTCCTGCAGTATCAAGCACTATAGACAAATTCACAGTTTTTGCTCAATTCCATCCCTACCGCTCCAAACATCTTCCATCTGAAGACGATACATTCATTAATATCTACAGCAGGAGGTAGTAAATCCTCATTTCCATACATTTTCAATCATCAAGAAGGAAAAAGATAGCCAAACATGACATTTCGATTTAATTAAGCTCCCCTAGAAGAGTCATTGACTGGGAGGGTGCGTCCATCCTCATGGCTAACTAGCAGATAATCGACGTTTGGAGTGTGATAAAGGTATGTAATCATCCAATATATTGCAAAGCATGAAATAGAGGATAACTAAAAAGTGGAGTAAAGATTTGCACTGAAGGCATGCCTTAAAAGAAGGAGAAAGCAAAAGAAAGGTTCTAAAGGAATTGCAATCAGACTTCCAAGAAGGCAGCTGGTCTTTACTCTTTGGGGCAATGTTATTAGAACTTTTGAGTTTGATTTAATTGGTGTACATGTTGAGATGATGACTATGACCTCAGAAATTCTAAGTCATAAGTTGACAAAAAGAAACTTCATGAAGGCACCAGTGAATATCTAAGTATAGGCATACAAGTCACCTACAACATGACAGAAACAGAGAACAAATTTTCAATGAAGAGGTAAAGGTTGCTCAGTTCTCAAAATACATAATTACATAGATGTGCAAATGCAAGAAGAGAAAAATTAAAGAGAATATGCCAGACGTTACCAAATAGTTCCCCAAGAAACATTTTTCTTTTTTCAAAAAAGGAGAAAGAAAAAGAAAGAGATCTTCCAGTAAATCACTTATTCTGAACTTTGATAGTAATTGGATTACCAAGTGTGCGTATCCAGTCGACTACTTAACTTTGACACTGACCGCAAAAGAAACGGAATGCAAGTATACATATACTAAAAGTACTCCTGTATTAACTCATAGAAAATTCAACCACTTTTGTCAAAGGCTCATTTAAAGCATGCTTAAACCCTGAAGCTCAGAAAAGCTTGGGGAGGTCGCTTAAGCTACACTTCAGTGTAGGCAAGGCACTAAAGCATGCGCACCCATTGCCCATGAGTTCTATCTTGAATTGAGCGGTCCTAAACAACAAATATAATCGCAAATAAGTGTATTACGTTTTAAGGAAAACAATATGAATGAATAGTTTAATTTTTTCTTCACACACACACTCTCTCTCTCTATATTTTTTCCATCACTGCGCCTGTTTTCTTTACTGAAGGCCACACTTAAATTGCGCTTTGCGCTTAAGCCCCGATACACCTGGGAGCTTCTTAGAGCTTTTCGGCTCTGACATCACTGAATTCAACCAGCAATAACATGCAACAAACCCACGTTGACCTAAAAAGATTTCATCTCCTTAAGTTTAAAAACCCCAAAACCATTAAGAGTATCCCTCATAGGCTAACGGAATGGGTTGCTATTTCCTTATATAGCCTTGGGTAATCCTTACCTTATGAGCTAAATTTTGGGATTGGGTTAGGCTTAAGGTCCATTTTTCTTTAGATAGTATCAGAACCATCACACCCACTCTTATTCTTGGTTTACCCAACATTGGGACCTCATATTATGTTGCCCACACTCCAAAGATTCAATCTTAGGAGTGTACCGGGGTGTTAGCGTGTCCCACATCCATTGAGGAAATAAGTTGTTGTTCTCTTAAATAGTCTAAGGACAATTCTCACTTCATGAGTTAACTTTTAAGAATGAGTAGGCTCAAGATCTATTTTCTTTACAAAAATTGAATCAAATTATTTTTTTATCTTTGTTGTAGAAGAAACAACAAAAATACGAAGCTGACCAAACACATAACATAACAAGTTCGATTGTCTGAATCTTAAATGCTGTGCAGTACTCAAAGAATTCATTATAGTCACATATCATGCACTATGTAGACCTAATCATCCTTCCTATCCAATTCAACTACGATGATGCGTCAAATAACTTCAAATACAAAGGGGGATGCATATAATTGCACACGAGCAAAATCAACAAACATAAAACTCAAACCATTCTAATTTTCTACCCAAAAAAAGGAGGATAGAATAAGAAAAGAGGGGAAAATATGAAAAGTGACTTATTCACTATCATGCTAGTAGGTAAACCTAATCATCTTGCCTATCCAACTCAATTACCAGATGATAAGTCAAATAGGGTCAAAATGCAAAGAGGCAAAAACGTAAAATTGTAAATCAAATAATCAATTGAGCCTCAATCACAAACTAGTTAGAACAGTATCCATACTTCTCTATTCAGGCCTGTGCCTAGATTGGTTAGTCCCAAACACAAAAATCAATTAATTTAAAGATTTCTCATAGTTAGACTAATTTTACTCTTGCTGCAACATTCTTCCTCTTTTATCATGTCGAGACCAGCTATATATAAGCCTCAAATATCAATTTCTTGGACCCTTTTCATTTCAATACTCAATAATTTAAAGAATGACCAAAATCAACAACCCAAAAATTGAAAAAAAAGGAAAAATAGATCAAACCTTTTTTCCTTTCAAGTCGTCGATTAGCAGAAATAGAGGCATGCGTATTGGGATCATCAGAGAGGTAACCATCAGGCAAATGAGGAACATCAGAAGAAGGGGAACCTGGCGGATTAGGCGAAGAAGAAGAATGATAAGAGTGAAGAGAAGATAAATTTCCCATGCTTGCACTTTTCTTCATGATCGAACCATCTGTAAGCCTCACACCAAATAGCCGTACACCTCCACTTACTCCTCCGCCGCCGCCGGAGGAACTACCGACACCGCCGGTGGGGGTGCCACCCCTGGTGGTGGGACAAGTCCGGGAATTGTGGCCATTGTTGTTGCAATGGGAACACCGCCGAGTCATGTTGAATTGACTCGGCGATTGGAGTTTTGGATAAGATTTTTCTTTTTCTTTTTTTGATAATTATGATTAGGAGTTTAGTTTGAAGGGCGAAGGTTTATAAATGGTAGTGGTGGTGGATAAAAGAATATGCGAATAATAAGGTGGAGGGAGATAAAAGAGGTAAAGAATGACTCAAGTTTGTGGATGGGAGTGTAGAAGATAAAAGAGGCTTTCTTATTTTTCTTTTGACTTTTTGGTTTTTGTTTTTAGCAAATTATGATTCATTAGTGCTGCTAATGTGCTATGCATTGAATTTGGATTTTTTTTGTTTTTTTTTTTTCGCTCTTCGTCTATTGGAAACAATCTCTCTATTTACAGTCGCGCTGCCTAGAGCCCCAGTCGAGACGAAGGGTCTCTATCAAGAATTTTTTCATACCGAAAACTCGAACTCGAGATCTCTGGTTAAGGAAAGAGCAGTTCCATAACTACACCACATCCTTTGATGGTAATTTTGGATTCACTTCAAAGAGTGTGGTGCTACGATTGACTTTTTATTTTTACTTAGAATTTAGAGGTATTGAGTTGCAGCAACATTTAAACTTGGGAATGAAAAACTTTTTAATAGAATACACCCTTACATATTGTGAAATAGTAGGCAAATACCCATTAAACCAAAAGAAAATAGAAATTTTGGATCTAATTACGGATTTTCATATATTTATTATTATAGTCCGTCGAGAAGTTTCTAGATGTATTTATTGTAAAATTTAAATTTAGTCGAACTAATGAATAAATATCAAATGGTGATACAAAAAATATGGATCTGATGACTAAGTTTTATCGTGTTATGAAATATTATAATTATATTAGTGGATGCATATAATTCTTAAAGAAGTTACTCCTATCACTCTTCTCCATTATGTAGATAATTTACACTATTTCTCATCATTATAGTTGTAACTCCCACACTTCCATAACCTCCCCATGATCTTCCTGCATGATCTCAAATATTTAATGTCATATTTATGGTATTCTTTTGTATACCTCTCTACAAATAGAGGGTTTTGACACCACATTGTACATACTTGACACACTTGAAAGAAATAACAAGCTCTCATCTCTTAGCTCTCTATATTCTTGTTTTATTACTTTGAGCAAAGATTCGTAATAAGTTATCAACACGAAGCTCTAACCAAGTGAGAAGATAACTTATTTGATGATAGAATTATGAATGGCCGACAACCTCGAATCAATTTGGTTGAGCCTATGGAAATCTGGCATCTCGTATGCCATATCAATGTTCAGTTTGCTTCCTATTGTACAGAAAATAAAATAGGTGACGTCTCTTATATCCAAGTGTGGGAAAGAGCCTCTACGATGGAGGTATCCATATGTTTGAAATACTAGATGAGGTACGCATACCTAACAAATATAGTAATTAATTTTAGTAATTAAATATTGGTCCTTTATATAATGCTATCGTCCTTCTAAACTTTTTTCTTAGTTGCTTGGTGATATACAGATGGAAAATGCTTTATGATATGGATAAATTAACCAGCTTTTCTATTAAGTTAGGCACTTATTGAACATCAAGATACTACAGGGTTCTCACCATACATAAATAAATAAACTATAGATGTGCACACACAAGGAACCAAAATTGTATGCTATTAAATGGAATACAGCCATAAGCGCAAGGTGAGTCTATGATGTACTGATGAGTTGGTGATTCAATATTTTTTTTAATGCACCATATATTATTTCTATTGCCTACGCTAATGGAATTTGGAGAGTAACTTTTTTCTGGAATTGAAGATATTGGTAACTAGGTACCAATAGCTCAATAACTTATCCAATAGCGAGAGATTAAGATAGTATGCATTCTGATGCAGGTAACATATATTGTTCTATATATCATTAATTATTTTGTGCAATTATTCTTTACTTCTTTAGATTTCAGGATCTCTACAACTTGGAGACCTTTTCTGATTGTTAAGACTTGCAAACGTACTCCCGAAAAGTGAGTTAATGTTTTCTATCATTTGTGATTGATATCATTGAATAATGTTTGAGGTTTTGCAAAGAAACAATCGATCACTAGATATGGTAAATGGTAATATTTTAAAGGCTCGAGTGCGAGTCCTAGTGAATTTTGGCCTATTATGCCAAAGATTGAGGGTAAGATGGTGGGTTCAAGTCCCAACATACTGTGTTGATGAAAAGACGTTGGTTTCGAGTTCCAACGCATTATGGCCTAACATGCCTTTATATGGGTAAGGCATTGGGTTTGAGTCCCAATGCACCATATTGATAATATAAAAATGACTAAAGAAAAATAATATAGTTTTCATGAAAAAGCATGAAGTTTGTCCCACTTGATTTGCTCCATTCTTGAAGTGAATGTGATAGCGGTGCATGCTAAATCTAAATGAAGACAAGTGGTTGACTAATGAACGTGGGCATGCCAAAGACCAAAATAATAATAGTCATCATTATGGTAATTATAAAATGAGAACAATAAGGGTTTTCAAAATAATCTTTCAAAGGTGAAGGAATTGTGTATCAATATGGTCTGCAAATATGAGGCACGCTCAGACGATTATAGTCCATTTTTTTTTAAAGAAAGCGACTTGTGATAAGCATTGTAAATGCAGACTCATTCTTGAAGTGAATGTGAAAATATATATGTGATACAAATTATGCACAAGAATGTATTTTATCCATGGTTGAATAAATACTACAACTCACCTCTACGGGAGGTTTGAGAGAAAGAAAGATTATGAACATTACTATGTGGTTATAAAAAGTTATTAACGGCAAAATTAAAGCAAGAAAAGATTGTGCTTATGATGATTTTGACCATGACAAATATTATGATATGATTTTCTCCGTGAAGGAAACATTCACCATATGGATTGTGTGATAAAAGATCTTGTAGTACAAAATCAATTAAGAGCTCCGGAAGAGCTAATTTGTTCATAACATTAATATATTAGTAAGTCTCAAAAGAAACTTTTTGAGTTTCAAATATATCAGCCAAAGTGGTTGGCATATTAAGACTATAAATGAAAGGAAGATTGATTATCTTCATATTACTATAATCATATCAGGTAAATATGAAAGGTTACCCGAGTTATAAGCATGATGATGGAATCACATACCATAGTACGGATGTCTACTGAAATACATATCAGTTGGCATGACCAGTTGGCCATCCCGGTTCAATTATAATGCGAAAAATGATTGAGAATTCACATTGGAATATATTGAAGAATTAGGAGATTCTTTGAGAATTCTCACGTACGACTTGTTCTCATGATAAATTGATTACTATACCAGCTGGGGTTGGAATTGTATTCCCTGATTTTTGCAATGTATAAAAGGTGATATATATATATATATATATATATATATATATATATATGGACCCAGTCACCTGCCATGTGGACCGTTTACTATTATATGATTTTAATAGATGCATCTATTGTATGGTAGATGTGCGTTGGTTATCAACTTGCAATTTGGCTTTTGCAAGGTTGCTTGCTCAAATTATTAGAGCACAATTCCAGAATGTAAATTGTGTTGATAATGCTGGTTTAAATCCAAGTTGGTTTAGTAGAAATTGTATGCCTCCAATTATAGCTAAACCATCGGTTATGAGAATAAAACTCCAAATAAAATTTTTGTATGAAGTGTATTATTTAATATACAGCAGCACCTGTACGCATCTAGCCAACAAGTTATGATACATTCTCCCCATCACAATTGGTTCAGGGTCAGGAACCAAATATTTTCATCTAGAAATATGGATGTACTATATGATTTAATTGTGCCACCACAATGTACAAAGATTGGTCCCCAGAGAAGGTTGGGGATATCTGTTGGTGATCCCAACATTAGGGGGAGAAAACAAGCAGCTGAAAAAGTGATACGTGAAATGAATTATTATGAATACATCTAGATCCTCGTACAAGAAAATGTGAACTTGAAGTTCAAGTGATAATTCATTTCTAAAATATTTCCAAGCACATTGTTGACCCAAAGCTAAATGTCATATTCCAGCTGCTAATGCTCCAAATAGAATAAAGTCCATGATGGACATAGTGTATGGGACGCATGAAGCGTAATAGACTAATCGATCCAAAGATAAAACTCCTTGAAGAAGGAGGGAGCAAATGTTCAAGATGGTCATAATAAGGAGGCAAGTGCTTTATAAAAGCACCATGACATAACATTTTATAAGACCTCATGGGAGAAGCTCAGGTACCTGAAAATAATGAGATCTCGATAAGTTATGTCTTTATAGAGTGATGATGAAACCGATGTAAAATGATCGTCGACGATATTGTTGATATAATGTAGCGTTCAATATTATTAATATTGACGAGGATCTTGAGCTCAAATGTGTCATGAAATTTGAACAGATAAATGATTGGCCAAATGAAAAATATGCAATGAAATTGACTTCATCTGAAAAATATGAAGTTGGACGGATAGTCCCAACAGCTGAAAGTATAAAGGCTATATGGAGATATTGAAATATGATTGGTGTTATATTGCAAAAGGAATCCTTGATATAGATTTGTTTATTCTAACAAATATTGTCAAGGTTTTGTTGGTTATACAAATGCAGGGCATAGTTCGTTGTTCAAACAATCTATTTCCATGTGAGGGGTAATGTCATATTAATATTCTACAAGGCAGTTAATTGTTGATACTTATTCAAGTCATGCCAAGATAAGCAACTGATAAAGCAAGGGGCTCAACACACAACAGACGTGTGACTTGACTTTGAAAAGAGANATATATATATATATATATATATATATATATATATATATATATATATATATATATATATATATATATATATATATATATAGGCCCAGTCACTTGCCATGTGGACCGTTTACTATTATATAATTTTAATAGATGCATCTATTCTATGGTCACATGTGCGTTTGTTATCAACTTGCAGTTTGGCTTTTGCAAGGTTGATTGCTCAAATTATTAGAGGATAGTTCCAGAATAAAATTATGATAATTTATCTTGATAATGCTGGTTTAAATACAAGTTGGTTTAGCAGAAACTGTATGCCTCCAATTAAGCTAAACCATTGGTTATGAGAACAAAACTCCCAAATAGAAATTTGGTATGAGGTGTATTATTTAGTATACAATAGCACTTGTACGCA